TTTTTTTTTTTTTTTTTTTTTTTTTTTTTTTTTTGATGCTGAAATAAGGCGCAAATAAGAAGTAGAAGAGAAGACGGGTTAAGAAAAGAATGAATATTAGGATGAGGACGGTACAAATAGTTTTAGAGACTTATCATTATCTAATTTACGTTTTTTTCTCTACTGTTTAATCTGTTTACAGCTAATTTAATAATATTACCAGTTGCTAGTTTTTTTTGGCCTACATTTAGCTGGCTTTATTGCCTAAATATGAACAGTTTTCTAGCTTTGGTTTTGTTTGCTTGCCAAACACCTCATATTGCAGGGCATTCAGGCTTGAAAAAAAGACGCTTAAAATGTTTGGTCTTATGTTTTAGTGTGCGGTAGCAACTGAACCTGCTATTACTGGCCACAAATACTACTTCTTCAAAGGGATATTACCAAGTTTTAGTCAGACTTAAGAAAGTAAGAACAGAGAGATTAATAAAAGTTAAGAAAGAAAAGACAGTTTGAAAAAATGAATGAAAAAGTTGTTGAAAACTAATAGATGAACCAGTTCAGTTACTGGGTGAATTGTCGGGCAGACTATTACATAGTGAAGTTATGCTGTGATGACCTCTTTGATTTTTTTTCATAGTGCGTCTTCAAAGAGTGCCAATTAACTACTGTTCGCTGTTTAACTACAATGCAACAAGTTTCTATTTTAAAAAGCATTTGTATCTTTTAAACTTTTTGTTTGCTCGTCGTTTCGTCATTATTATCTGATTTGTCAGTCGTCGACCTTCATATACCTCTTAGTTAAGCTAAAGAGTGTGAAGTCTCTCCAAAATGTTGCCTAGTGGTAACTGCTGAAGCAAGTGCTATCTGTTTGATAAGAAGCGTAAACAACGTGCAGACAGCTATCGGCATATAGGCTTTCAACAGCTGATCACTGATTGATTTTATTTTTTGTTAGGTATTTTTTATTCTTTTCTTTTTATTTTTTACTTTTGCAGTGGTGGTACTCTTTGCGAACTTTTATTATAAAATTTGTAAAGTAAGTTTGTTTAAACATAAAGTTTTGACTTGACTTTTTAAATAAAAATTCTTGCTTTCGCTTAATAAGTATAAAAACATTTTAGCTGGTATTGTTTGACTGCAACATTTGATTGTGAGCTTAATTACTTTTAGTTTCTCTTCTACACTGCTTAAATGAGCTTGCTGGTGTCATAGTCAGCAGTCAGAACCATGTCGGTATCGTTACTGTTTACGCTTAAAACAGTTAGTATTTTTGGCGCAGGAATAACTCGGAAGATGTTTTTTTACAAGTCTGACTTGAAATTTGTTACTTTCAGATAAGTGTAAACTTTTTTTGGCTAGTATATAGCTTTAACAAACTTATTCACGATGCAGCCGTCTGAATGTACTATTATGAGTAATTACATAAGCCTGCTTTTGAACATCACTGCCGTCTTTTTGGAACTCGTACAATCTGGTCAAAATTAGGTTAGTCATTGAAATGAATTCGTCTTTCCAGTTTTTGGAATAGTAAAAACCGTGAAAAAACGAAAGTGGTCATGATCAACTGTTTACAACTAGATTGAGGCAGAAATTGACAGTGTCTTTAATTTACTCAATTTTTTAAAATATTCAATAATTTTAAAAGGAATAGGTGATAATAGTTAAAGTGTCGAAATTTAAAGTGTCATATTTTAATATTTATCGAATTATCCCTGGTTGCTGCAGCTACTGTAAAACAATTAAACCTTAAGTACAATTTTATCTTTTGGCTTTACTTTTGAATTTGGAAAATAAAAGAAGATCAATCAGCACTTTGAATAACAAAATTTTTGATAGAAACCGCGTATCGCTTTTTTTTGCAATTTGGGTATAAAATAAGGTTGTTAAGCAAACTTTGTAAAAATGCCAAATGAACATTTTAGTTTTCTCATCTTTCAACTATATCAAAACATATGATTTTTTTCTATTCTTTTAAAATACATAATTTTCATATGCTTTTAATAAGTTGTTTTGCGGAAAATTTAGATTTTTAAGCGAAACAAACCTTAGTTTTTTGCAAGCTTTAATCTGAAAATAATCTGACACTCCACTAATCAATCACCAAATAAGCAGTAAATCTTGATGCAGCTTATTATTTGACAACGGTTTCCGCTTTTTTCGGTTTTTGTAGAACTAAAATAAAGAGTAAAAGCGAGTTTTACTTTTTCGGTTGTCTGCGTTTTTCTGCTTTTTTCTTTTGTTTTCGATTCTATCTCTACTAGTATTTTTTCTTCTTGAATATCTCTTTTGCTGTAAACTTCTTCTTCGTCAAACGCTAATTGTTGCATATAAAAAAGCAAGACATTAATTCATTAAAATATCTGCTACATAGAAGCCAAAGAACGTATGCTAAAACTGGCTATTTTGAAATTAAAGAAAAAGAGGAAAGAAAGACTAATGTGAATTTTAGCAAAGAAATGTTATTTGATTCCTTATTAGTAGTTGGTCTGCCTGTTTTCAAATAAAGAAAGGAAGAAGAAGACGTTGCTTAAAAAAAATTGCTTTGCTAAAGCTTATGGAACTGAAAAATTCGAAGTAAAGAAACACGTAAATGATCATTTGATGCCTTAAGCTGTCAAAGTATCGCCTTCGTATTCAGTTACAACTTGACTAGGCCTGAGAAATTCTCAGATTTTCAACCAGTTGTCCGTCGCCAATTCTGCAGCAAAAGATCATACAACAAATAATTTACCGTTTTTCAGTTACTATTGTTCAGGCAGTGAAGCATTTTTTTAAGTTACCAGAAAACAGTTATAAATTACCACATTTGAAGATGCTAAAATTAAAGCACATACTCAAACAAAATTTCTTTAAGAAGTTTATCAGATATTTTATTTCTTTTTATAATGTAATTGAAATAAAAGCACTGACAAAACTTGTAAAATGTAATTACAAAATACTTTAACCATAGTGCTTTTGATCATCGTCTATAGGCATAGGTTATAGAGTCATGTATGCTTTCTTTCAGACAACATTTTGCATTTACGTTTTGTCATTCTTTGTTGCAAATTTTTCAGAAAGATAAATAAATATGCATTGTACCAGGTAGCTAATGACTGTAAATCTAAATGAAGAAATTTATGTTTTGTTTCAAACCTCTTCTTCTAAACCACTTTTGACTGTCATACAACGGCGTACGATTAGTGAGAGACGATAGTAAACAATTTGGTATAGGTTCCTCATTTCTGTTATAGATAACACGCAAATAAAAAACTTGTTATTTTGCTTAGCATGATTATACCGGTGGATCGTAGGTGAACACAATAGCCTACTCTCAAAACAAAAAAACTTTTGATTTTTTACTGATAGAAAATTGAAAGCTGGCTTTGAATCGGCTTCAATTTCTTTTGCAAGAAAGTAACCAGCTGTAACAAAATGCTCAAATAACTTAAAGAAAAGCTGCTATCGTAAGTTTATAAACACGTCCTCGTCCTGTACCAGCAGTTTACCACTTTTTAATTAGTCTGTTTATGTATGCTATTATATTTAAAGTTATAAAGCACATTTGGTTACCTTGAAAAAAAAAACACTGTTAAAAAAAAGACCTTGAGCATTGCTTCAATTTACTGTGAAACAAAACAAATGTCAGCAAAGATTAGCTACAGTCTCTACACTTTAGCATAAACTGCAGTTCAGTTTGTGTCACTAGAATACTACTTAAAAAATCACGCTTATTGTTCATAAAGGAATTATTGATTTAATTTTGATCGTTTTTAAATGACATTGAAAACACCAAATTCATATTGCAAAAACTAAAAGTAGCACCTAATAAGACTTCCAAAAGCAAGATAAAAGCTTGTAAGCTTCAGTTCAAAGGTATTGTCTTATTACCACATCTTTCCCTCTATTTGACAAAGAAGTGAAGCGTGACAAATACATGAATCAGGCAAAATTTTATTCAATTTTTTTTTGACAGACAGCCGCAGAATTACCTAATTAGATTCAGAAAAGCTTTAATTGCTAGAATGAATAGCTTTTTGAAATCCAATTTTTCCTTGAGCGACGTCGTGGACGTTGCAGAAGGTTCTGATAAAGGTGTCACCAAGAATCCACGACGGTGAGAATCCACCGCCATCCATGTCAAACAAAGTTAGAGCGCACTTTCCACCACCAAGTTCCAACTGAAAACCAGCAAAAGAAAATAAGAAACGAAGAAAATTGCAGTAAAACTTATTTGACTTTGACTATCTATTCATTGCTGAGCCAAACAAATAATAAGAAGAACATACATCTAGAATATATTCGAAGGATGGAATAGAGTATTCTTTGCCGTCAATGATAAAAACAAGAGGCAAATCAGTATCCATCTTGCTGCATGGAACTTGATAGAGCTGATTGAACCAATCATAAGAACCCCCAGCTTGAGTAGCAATAGCAGAAATGGCTGAGCCAGGTCCACCAATCCATGATGTGCCAGTATCAGAGATTACTTGATATCTTTTAGTTGACGAATAAGTTCCAATTTTAAAGCTTAAATTTTAATGCGTAAAAATTTTCTTAGAAAATCCTAATGAAAAAGCCAGTATAAAACTAATGCAAATGCAAATTGACTATAGCTGGTAACGTTTACTTTACCCGTTTATTGGGAATTGCCAGTATGTCTTAGATGAAAGTTTGACGTAAACTGGTTCGCCACTACAGTGTTTGGGATCTAAACCACCATATGTGATCACACCACCGTTTCCACCTTCAGACAGCTTCCTCTTTCTAAAAGCAGAGTGTACTGGCACCTGGGTATGCAATGAATCAAAGCTTTCATTTCAGACAATTGTTATTGTAAAAACACTGTAGTGGTATTATCTGATTAATTCGCTATTTACCGGTCCATCCAGACAGTGAAAATTGGCTTATCGAGAGAATTTAAAAT